AAAATCAATGAAATTGAAAATAGAAAAACAAAAGAGAAGATGAATCCAAAACAGAAGTGTTTTGTTGTTGCTGCTGTCGTTTTTACCTGTGGTGCTGGGGATTGAAGCCAAGGCTTTGTGCATGTGAAGCAAGCACTCTACCAACTGAGCTATATCCCCAGCCCAAGAAGGCTGGGTATTATGGTGCACACCTGTAATCCCAGGGGCTTGGGAGGCTGAGGCAGGAGGATCATGAGTTCAAAGCCAGCCTCAGTAACTTAGCAAGGCCCTGTCTCTAAATAAAATACAAAAAGGTCTCAGGATGTGGCTGAGTGTTTAAGTGCCCCAAGTTCAATCCCGGCACCAAAAAAAACGAATGAACAAAAAATCCAAAACAACATTCTTTGAAAAGACCAATGAATTTCAAGCCTGTAGAGCAACTGGAAAAACAGAGAGAGAGAGAGGTAGGGAGAGAGAGAGAGAAGACATAAATTAACACCTCTGGAATGAAAGGGTGGTTATTACTATGGATCTCATAGAAAGTAAAAGAATAATAAGGGAATACTTGAAACAACTCTGCATACACAGACTCACCAATGTAGATGAAACAGAATGATTCTTTGAAACCACAAATTACCAAACACTCCCAAAATGAAATAGACGACTGATAGTTTTACAACTATATAAAAAATCAATTTTTAGTTTGAACCCTTCCAAAATATGAATCTCCAGATCCAGGTGGTTTTATGGTGTGAATTCTACCAAACATTGAAAGAAGAAATAACACAAATCTCCAGTCTTTTCCAGAGCATGAGAATAGGAGGAAACACTTTCCAAGCATTTTATGCTACCCAAACCAGAGAAAGATTAAAAAAAAAAAATGATTATGTCTTTGAACAAAACCCCTCAATAATATATTATCAAATCCACATGAAAAAGACGTTCAGCATCATTAAAGAAATGCAAGTCAAAATTGTAAGATACCACTTCACACTCACTGCTATGGCCATAATAAAAATGAGGGATAATAACAAGTTTTGATGAGGATATAGAGAAACTGAAATTCTCATACATTGCTGGTAGGTATGTAAAATGGTGTTGCTCTTTGAAAAACAATTTAATATAGTTCCTTAAAATTTTAAATATAAACTTATATCACAGCATTTATATATACTACTATCTACATACTCAAGAAAAATCAAAATACACATACACAAAAATGTATGCACTAATGTTGATAGCAGCATAATTCATAATAGTCAAAAATGAAAACAACCCACATGTCCATCAACTGATGACTGGACAAATAAAATGTGGTATACCCATCCAATGGAATATTATTTAGGCACTAAAAGAAAGAAATAAAAGGTATGGCCAAGAGGTAGTACATGCCTGTGATCCCGGCAGCTCAGGAGGCTGAGACAGGAGGATTGCAAGTTCAAAGCCAGCCTCAGCAAAAGCAAGGCGCTAAGCAACTCAGTGAGACCCTGTCTCTAAGTAAAATACAAAAAAGGGCTGGGGATGTGGCTCAGTGGTTGAGTGCCCCTGAGTTCAATCCCTGGTAACCTGCCCCCTGCCCCAAAAAAGGCATGTCCTACAACATGGATAAACCTTGAAAATGAAAGAAGCCAGGTACAATGCATGAAAGTTAATATTGTATGATTCCATTTATGTAAATGTATAAAATAGCCAAATTCTTAGAGACAGAAAGTGGATTAGTGGTTGCCAAGACCTGTGGAGGGTGAAGAAGGGAACTGGTAGTTATTACTAATGAGTATGAGGTTTCTAATTGGGGTGATGAAAGTGTTTTAAAATTAGAAAATAATGGTTGTAGTTGCATAACACTGTGAATATACTAAAAACCACAGAATTGAATACTTGAAAAGGGTTGATTTTATGGTATGTGAGTTATATCTAAATAAAGCTGTTAAGAGTTTATTAGCAAATCAAATACAGCATACATAAAATGAAGAGTACACCATGACCAGTGGAGTTTATTCGGGAAATACAAAATGGGTTAAAAATTTAGAAGTCCATCAGTGTATACTACAATATTAACAGCCAGAAAAGGAAAAAAAAAAAAAAACCTCATGATCCAACTAACTAATAAGGGAAAGCACTGGACAAAATTCAGTATCCACTCATAATAAAATCTCTCGGCAACCTAGGAATAGAAAGGAATGTCTTTGCTATGATTCAGATGCCTCCCAAAAGTTCATGGGCTGGAAGGTCAGTCCTCAGCATGGCAGTACTGAGGCGACAGAACTTCTAAAAGATGGACAGTGGTTAAGTTACTGTGAGCACAGATCATGGATAGTTCAGGCAGCTAGCAAATTGTTCTAAAAAGAGCAAGTATGGACGCTGGGTTTCCCTTGCTTCCTGATGACCACATGAGCTCTCCTTCGGGCATATACACCAGCCATAATGCCATTCTCCATGCTGTGATGTAGTTAAGGAGGCCCTCGCCAGAGGCCAAACAGATATGACTGCCTCATCTTGGACCTCTACCCTCTAAAGCTGTGAGCTAAATATGCCTCTTTTCTTTTTAAGTACCCAGCATCATTGTTATAGCAATAGAAAGCAGACTAATACGATCCTCAATCTGATTGATTCAAATTACTCCCCACTAAAAACACACAAACAAAAACTATACACAAAAATATAGTTCACATCATATTCTGCAGTGAAATAATTAATACTTATCTTCTAAGACTGGGAACAATGCAAAGTAGTCTCACTATTCCTATCCAGCATCATATTAAGTGTTCTAGCCAGTGGTACAGGGTAAAAAAAAAAAAAAGAAAAGGCATACAGGATGCAAAGGAAGAAATATAACTGTTCCTTTATGTAGATAAAATGGTTGTCTGGGTAGAAAATATCAGAGACTTCACGAAAACAAACAAAACCACCTGGAACTAATTTGTAAGCTTAACAAAGTCCCTGGATATAAAGTTAACCCAGGAAAGTCATTGTATTACTGACAAAATTATAGCAATGAAGTACAGCTTAGTGGTAGCCAGTGGCTAAGGAGAAGAGTAGGGAGGGAGGTAACTAGCTAATAAAAGGCAGCATAAATGATCCTCGAGATAGAATTATTCTGCTTCTGTATTATAATGGTGTTCATACAAAGCTACCCACTGAAAACATTGCATGGAACCAAATACACATACAAATGGGTACATGGAAAATTGGTAAAAGCTGAATAAGGTTGGTGGATTATAGCAATGTCAAATTCCAGGTTGTGATATTATACTAAAGATGTTACCAATGGGAGAAACTGGTATACAGTCTCTCTGTATTATTTCTTAAAATCGCATGCAAATCTACAATTATCTCAAAATAACAAGTAAATTAGAACTTTCATACATTACTAGTGAGAATGCAAAATTGTACCTCCACTCTGGAAAAGAAGTGTATTATAGTGTTAAATGTACCACCTGACACTGCAGTCCCAGTCTGAGAGAAATCAAAACTTATATTCACACAAAAATTGTACACAGATATATGTAGCTCTATTTATAAATATAAAAACTTGGAACAAGTTAAATATCCTTTAATGGGCAAACACATAAATAAACTGGCATATCCAGACAAACAGAATGATAGTTAGCAATAAAAAGGGACAAACTACAGATGCAGTACCAACTTGGGTGAATCTCAAAGATGTGATGTGGAATGAAAAAATCAGTCTCAAAAAGTTACATGCCATATGATTTGTATGACGGGACCTAAAAAACAAAAGTGTAGTCATGCAGAAGAGTGGTTGCCAGACATTAGAATGTGGGAAGGGTGTAAATACAAAGAGAGAATTCAAGGGAGTCTTCTAGGGTGATGCTACTGTTTTCTCCTGATTGTGATCCATCTGTCTGTCTGTCTATCTATAAAAATCTACATAGCTGTGCACCAAAAATAAAATTAATCTATGTTAATTTTAAAAATAAAAGAAAAATTATAAAAGCAAATTCGACATTTGTACCTCATATTTGTACCTTATGACTTATTCATTCAGAGACTATTTAGAATTTAGTTGTTTGTAGCATAATTCCAGATACAATATTTTAAAGAGCACTATAGGCTTCATCTTACAGTGACTATGGAGTTCACAGGGCATAAAACAAAATCTCCTAACTCAAACTTTAGTTAAAGAACAATTATTTTAGTGATCTTTACTCAAATTTTAGCTGCAGACAACATGCCTGCAGTTGAACAAGTGTCTGTTGATTTTTTTTTAACATAAAAAGCAGATTTAGGACCTGTTGTTGTGGCTCAGTGGTACAATGCTTGCCTCATATGTATGAGGCACTGGGCTTGATTCTCAGCATCATATGTAAATAAATGAATAAAATAAAGTTCCATTAACAACTAAAAAAATTTAAAGAAAGCAGATTTAGTTATGCTGAAACATTAGTGGTAATTATAATAATAATTAAATAATAAATAACAAGTTAAATGACCTACAAGTAGACTAAAAATCACTTAGGAAGTTTAAAACAAAAAATGAATTTTATAATTCTTCAGTTAAGTTGTCATATTAAAAATATGGCATTAGGTCATATCAAGGATGTTATGCATTAGAATTAAATAAATTACTGTCTGTGTAGAAATAAGAAAGTATTAATTATTCATTAATCCCACAAAAAGTTATGTAAATAATCCAATGTAAAATATCATTTGAAAAAACATCTTTGAATGTTTCTTGAAAGTACATAGTATTTAAAAAAATGTAATTCTAAATGTAGCCTAAATACAACATTCAAATCAAGGAAATGATAAAGGCTCTACATTCAAAAACATAGTTATAATGAAGTATTTCTGTAAGCATCTAGTTTTCCAATCCTGTCTATGATTATTTTGAATTTACAGAGAGGGAATAGGACCTGAATCCTAGAGAGGGAATAGAAATAGGCATCTGACCTATGAGATGTCAGAACTTCGGCAGTTTCCAAGTGGCTTCTGCATTAAATTGAACGATCAATGCGGAAATGCCAGTGATGGCATAAACCTGCATGTTCTGATTTCCTTCACAACTTATGGAACATTGGTCCTACTGTAGCTATAATATCTGCATAGGGAGCACTCTGGTTCAGCTCAATAGCCTGCTGTTTTTTTAGAACAAGAAAGCTATAAAACTTGGCAGCGGTTCGTTTTCGGTCACTATTTCTGCAGAGTTTCATCAGACTGAAGGACTGCATTCCCATCTTGTTGGATTCCTGGGAAAATGATTAGAAAGGAGGAAGGGAAAGGGAAACAAAATCATCAGATGTCAAGCAGGCTGTGGATTCAAAATGAACAACAAGATACTGAAATTTTAGATAAGTAACTATGATATCCTTAAATGGAAGAATACAAACAATTCTTTACTAAATTTATAAAAATCCCATAGGTTACTCAGCACCAGTTTGGTTCATCAAGAAAATACAAGCAAAAAACAACAACAACAACAACAAAAACATCTTATAAAGGATGTTATGTAAATCTGTAATGTGTTATACAAATGTTAGGTCTTTTAAAACATTGATGCTAACATAAATACCTCCTATGGAAAATGCAAATAGTTTATACTTTCAGGCAGAAAAATATCCAGAGAACTTTGGGAGGCTTCAAATACAAAGAAAATGCTCAGCCTATTAGGGTTCTTCTTCTCCTAAAAGTACTAAGAGGCAGGGAAGACAATATACAACTTAAGTGGTAAATACAGAAGTACATTTTATATAAATAAGTAAACATCTTTCAGTTTTATTCCTACAGATTTAAAAGATATTGGATTCATCATATGGCACCCATGTACCTACTAGAAATAATTGAGGTATAATAAAGTATATAATTATGGATGAAGATAACTCCTTTTTTAGAGTCTAGGCCTTGGAATCAGATTCCTAGAGAAGCATCGTTTTTTTAGTTAGAAAGAGTATAGTAAATATTGTCTGATAACCCTGAGTATTGTATTCCTTGGATAATTATAAAATACTTTTAGAAATATTATGTTTTTCCAGTTCATAATCCTTAACAAATTAATAAATGAAATATCTTATTGTGCTTTTATCTTAACCGAAAATGTAGCCTAGAGTCAGCAACCTTTCAGAGATGGTAACCCAGTCTTCATTTATTTCCTCTCTTGAGAGACAAGATGTGGATTGGGTGCCCCCCACCACCATCCCCTCACCTGGAGGGAGCAGGAACCACTTTTTCAATTTCAAAAATTCTTTTGAAAAATCTTTAGGGGTCAAATATTCAATATTTAACACATCTGCTTATTTCTGTTCCTAAAGAAACCCTCTAAAATGAAGGAATAAAAAAGTGACAAAAGAAATAAAGACACAGAAATGGAATACATAACTGACTTAGCAGAGTAGAGAAGGTTGCAACCCGTGCGTCAACAAGGAGGAAAGCCAGCCAAGGCAGGCCAGCATAAGACACAGACCTTGGGAAAACCCAGGAACTGGAGACATGAGAATGTTAAAAGCTGGAGGTTAGGGGAAGACTGAAACCAGAATTCCTTGAGAGTTAGACATTCTGACACTCCTCAACCTCACAGAACCAGATGACTACTCATACAGCAGAAGGCAAGAAGGTGTCTTTCTGGAGGTACCAACCACTGAGGCTCTGGTCTTGGTACCCTGGCACTGTGGATGGGCAAGGAGAAGTATCACACCACAAACATGGAGATTAAGGGACACTCCACATCTATACAGTAAAGCAACCAGCCTCTCCCTTTCCTTTGGTTCCTGAACCACTGGCATCATGCTTATATTTCCTAGGCAGCAGATTTAAAGATTTAAAGCAAAAAAGAATGTATTTAAGAGAGCCAAGGACAGAGGATGCAGGGGACAAAAGAAAACAGAAATCTCTGAAGTGAAGAGAAGTGTTTCACATTTATTAAAAGCAGTTAGGCTGATAGTGGAGAAAGATCAGTGGTGGCTTGGAGATGCGGGGTCAGTGCAAGTGATGGGGTGGGGGCTGTCAAGGGACAAGGAAACTTCGGGGGTTTTAGATACATTAATGTCATCCTGAATGTGATGGTTTCACAGATTTACACATAAATTGAAACTTATCTAACTGTATACTGATGTTAATCATACCTCAATAAAGATTTTATCTTAAAAACCGGATAAATAATTAAATCAAAGATTAGGAATCTATAAAATCATAGTTAATAACCTTAAAAAAACTCCTGGAAAACAAAAAGTTGAAAGCAGAAATAAAAATTTTGTAAGGACTAGAACACAAAGTTGAGGAAATCTTCCAGAGAGTGAAAGGGTTCAAAGCCAAGGGAAGTTAATATAGGAGATAAAATATGTTTTAAAGATTAAAGGATAGGGGCTGGGGTTGTAGCACAGTGGTAGAGCACTTGCCTAGCATGTTTGAAGGCTCTGGGTTCAATTCTCAGCACCACATATAAATAAGTAAAATAAAGGTCCATTAACAACTAAAAAATATTTTTTAAAAAATTAAAGTATCAGCTAGACACAGTGGCACATGCCTGTAATCCCAGTGGCTTGGGAAGCTTAGGCAGGAGGATCACAAGTTCAAAGCCAGCCTCAGCAATTTAGTGAGGCACTTAACAACTCAGCGAGACCCAGTCTCTAAATACAATATTCAAAAGGGCTAGGGATGTGGCTTGGTGGTTAAGCATCCCTGGGTTCAATCCTTAGTACCAAAAACAAAACAAAACAAAACAAAAAAATTAAAGGATCAATTTAGGAGATCCACTATCAGATCCATAAGCCCTCCAAGAAAAGAAAACAAATAAACAAAAAGGAGAAAGTCCAAGGGGGAAAAAATCCTAGAGCTCAAGAACATGGAATTTTTGATTAAAAGAACCCATTCATGGTCAACACAGTGAACTTAACATTAAAAAAAAAAAAAAGCACATCACCATTAAATTTCAGAACACTAAGGATAAAGAAAAGATCTAAAAACTTCCAGAGAGAAAATAAAGTTCACCTACAAAGGATCACCAACCAAGGCAGAGTCTGACTTTTCAATAACACAAGAATCCATGTTACAAAGCTTTCAGCATCTGAGAGAAATTATTTCCAACTTATATCCAGAAACAACAAATTAAGTTCAAGGTAAAACAAAGAAATTTTCAGTCTTGTGAGGTCAGATTTCCTACACACTGTTATCTTAGGAAATTATGAGAGGATGTTAATTACCAAAACATTTAGGATAAAAGATGATCAAGCACCAAGAAATAGAGGAACTAAAAAGGAACAAAGAAATTCCTGTGTTTAAGATAAAGGAATGTCCCAGGATAAAAGCTATGGAGCAAACCTTAAGAGCAACTAGCTTGAATCAGAACAAGAGGATGATGAGCTCTAAGAAGGTTATTTTTAGGGGGAAAAATGGAACTGACACATCAATTAATAATTTGAGATATACATATACTAAAAGGAGTTTTATTATATTGTCACAGAGTTTGGAAAGGTAATTAAGTATGGGTATATGAACAGTAAATAAATGGAAAACATGAGGTAATAACCCAAACAACAACAATCACAACAACAAACCATAACATTTACAAGAAAAGAAATACAATTACACTTGAAGCTTCATTGTGAACTAATTTTTGTACAGTCTTTGTAGTAGCAACTGCTAGTTGTCCTTTAATATCCATTCTCTTCTTCTTCCATAATAATTGAATTATTAGCTGGGCTTATAGTTACTGAATCAGGACTACATATAAAAATGAAAACAGTTGCCAAACTTGACCATCTCACCCGCAAACTATTTAACATCTGAAGTAATCTTCTATTCCATTTCTCTGCTTCAGTGTTTTGTTCATTCTCCAATGACTCCTGTATGAATGATTGAGAAATATTTCACTTAAGCAAATTTTACTCAATGTTAACTATTGGTCAAGCATAGCGTTCACTGCTATGGGAAATATAACACCAAGTTCTGCCAAATAAAGAGCTTATGATAATGGAGAGAATAAGACTAACACAAATATAGATGAGCCTTGCAGGATTATAACTTTGCTCTCCAGATTGTCTTCTGATAAGGAAATCTAAAGTAGGAGATTCTGCATTCTGTCTGGATAATGCTCCCAGAGCATTGTGCCCTTAGGTGCTTTGAAAAGTAAAGTTAGCCAAGACATTGCTTTCTGCTGGGACTATCCTATTTCTAGTCAAACTGAACTCAGTTGACAAGAATAAACTTAAAGCTCTAGAAAAACTGCCTTGTAAAGACCTTTATTTGAATTTCCCTGGTGATTCTGGAGCTCTAAAAATAACTGTTGTTTAGTAGTTTATGACAATTGGGTTAGAAACCTTGTCAATTTTGAGCGTGTCTTGTCCAAAAAGGTCAAGCAACTGCCTGTCATATTATCTGAATAGGTTCATTTTTTTCAGTCTTTAAAACTTAACCACTTTCTGAAATACCTCAATATTTTAAATTGTAAAATTTTACCCTTCCAATAAACACCTTATGAGCTTCTGAGAATGGAAATTATCATAGGAAATGTGTTGATGAATCTGATAAAAGAGCAGGCCTACCAAGGGTTGGGGGAAGAAAAGTGGCACAGATCTGACCTACTTTATCATTTTTCCTGCACTAGCTCTGACCATGCCACACACTACCTGTTCACTGTTATCACACTGTTTGCTATTTGTCTAGCTTCCTATAAATCTGCAGATCAAATAAATTTTCAAAGTACTTTCAATTTCATGGACTCCAAGATGATTTCAGAAAGTTCCAGAATATTCTGGAAATTCCCATATTTATGATAAAGAAATAAAAGCTGTGCAGCCGACCTAGAGAGCAATTGGTTTGGATTAGAACAAGCAGACAATGAGCTCAGAGAGGTTATCTTCAAGAGAGAAAAAAAAGAATCTGTTGGATCAATTAATATATATTTTATATATATATATATACTAAAATGGGTTTTATTATATTGTCAGAGGGTTTGGAAAAATAATTAAGGATGGGGTTCAGATGTTAAAAAAAATGGAAAAAATTAGGTTATGATTAACTCCAACAATAACAGAAACAAAACTATCATGAAGTTTACAAGAAAAGAAATAAGATTACATTTTTCAAAATTTTAAATCATTTAAGGCTAAAGGGACCCTTTTGAGTCCGTCCAGAAACTGCTGAGTGCCCCCAGAAACTGCTGAGTCCCCATTCCCACCAGCTATGCAGCATGGTCCTGCCTGTCCTGTATCCTACCTTGTATCCCAGTGAGACTGATTTTAAAAATATAGTCATTTTTTTTCTGAGGAGTTGTTGAAATCTCTCTAGGTATGATTCATGTTTATTCCCTTCTGGTCTGTCCTTGGGTAAATTAGTTTACCTATACTCGTGTTTATTGTTAAATATATAAATGCTATTTCTGAAATGTAAAAAGTTTTGTTAAAATCCATGAAACTGTAGCTTCACCTATAAGGCCCAAATAACCAGAAAAAGGCTCAGCATCGTGGGTGTATTTTGCTAGCGCTTGTCCATTTGATCTATCTGACATCCTACAACTGAATCTATTGTGGGGAAAGCCCAGTGGATTATTAAAACAGCTGAACTTGTGCTGTGGTGTGGTTTGCTTGACCATGTATGAAAATAAACTGTCAATGGGAGCAAAGAGGGTGGCAAAAGTGAATCAGCTCAGGGCTGAGAACGTGGCTCAGTGCTAGAGCACTCGCCTCACACATGGGAAGCATTGGGTTGGATCCTCAGCACCTCAAAAAATTAAAATAAAGGCATTGTATCCAACTACAACTTTAAAAAAAAAAAGAATCAGTTCACTTCTGGCTCAGCTGTTTGGATGTTTCAGGTAAAAAGTTCAAGTTATTTCTTCTGTCCTAGATTATCTAGAGAATTCAGTCTATTTTTCATGTCTGAAAAAAAAATCTAATAGTCTTAGAACTTATTATAAAGATAACTTATTTTAAAGCCAGTTAACACCAGGTACTAATAGGTGTTTTGATATCGTTTACTAAAGAATTTTTGCTGAAATTCCTTACAATTCAAAATGCTTTCTGTACTCTCTTGTCATGTATATCTAAAAAAAAAAAGAAAAGAAAAGAAAACAAGAAAAGAATTTATTTTTTAAAAATGCTTTCTGTATTCTGGGACAAGGACCAGAGATACAAGGCAGTGCATAGGGAGTCGGTGAGTTAGATTTTACTTCTCATTTTGCTATCAACATGTGGTCTGATGAGCAAACCATTTTCTGATTTCCAGAAGTCTTGTACAGATACAAGCTTGAGCCATATGTTAAGGAAAAAAAATTCTCTCACTATTTTGTAAATAAAATAAAATTTTAAATGCCCTAGTCTGTATCCCTAATACAGACAGCATGGTTTCTCTAGAGATGCTAATTAGAAAAGCTTACAACAGTGATTTCTTAATATTTTAAAATCTTTGGTAAAAATCTCATATAATTATTTGACATTTCAAAATAAATTAAGAAAACAAAAGAACTGATACATCTCTGCTTAAATGATGAATTTAATTATAAATTTAGAAAGTAACATGACAGCCCTAAAAAACAAATTTTAGATTGAATATTAAATATTTAGGAACAAAGTTTTTAAGAATATCCCCAAAACTATCCATATATTTACCAATTCAACCTGACAATTTTCTTGGGTCAAGAAAGCATTCATCAAAGGTGATTCTTCAGCAGCTGAATAAACCATTTTGATAAGATCCTGTTAAAGTAAATTAGACAAAGATAGGTCATTCTGGTAGTGATTATCACAGGTATAATCTAATATTGTTAAATGATTTAATCAAATGAATATTTGTTTCTCAAATTAATTTAAATGCTACCCACATTCTCAAAATATTATTTCTGAAATTTCCCATACAGGCAGGCCTTGACTTAAACCTTCCTTTTTCTCATGTGCTTCACACAGATGAAAACCCTGCACACCCCTTCCTGCCTTGCTCCCTATCCTTTTCCTTCCTATTTCCCTCTCCACTTCAGGCTTCATCAAACAGTCTCTACTGCTGAGATCACTTCCCTTTGAAGCATTTTATAAAGCCCCAGTCCTGTCCCTCTCAGGCCAGTACCAGGTGGCAGAGGAAGAGACCTGCAGTGGGCAAGCAGAGGGAGTGAGAGTGAGGGAAGGGATATTAATATCCCTACCCAGGGCATGACAGGACTTTTGACACCACTGCTGGAGCCATCACTGGCAAGAGGGAAGGAAAAACCGTGTCCTCTGAAAGGAGGATAAAAGACAAAGGAAGAAGGAAAAAGAGAAAGCCAGAAATTCTCCCATTCCCCGCCATCACCTCCCCTTTGCATGGCTATAAAGCTGTCAGCCCTTTTCATTTATTTCCAAGCTTCATTCCCAGCTCTCATCCCTGACCTTCAGAGCTTCCTCCAACAGAGTTTGCTAATTTTTACTTTAGCTTTAAAATTTTTTAGTGACTACAAGAAACTGTATTATTATTGTTTTTACGGTACTGGGGACTGAACCCAGCACCTCACTCTACTACTGAGCTATATCCCCAGGCCTTTTATTATTTTGAGAAATTCTCATTAGATTGCCGTGGGCCCTCAAACATGCAGTTCTCCTGCCTCAGCTTCTCTAGTAGCTGGGATTTAGGCACCTACCATTATACTCAGCTACATTTTATTTTTTATTGTACACATTTATGGTGACTTATTGTGTTTTTCCACTTTTACTTTCTTTTATTCCCACAGTTTAGATACTCTTAATTTTGTAGTTATTGTATATAAAATTGTTTTATGAGGATTTGAAAATGATTCATTAGAATCAATATTTTCCTGTCCCTTCAAACTAACAGTGCTCCCATACTTCACTATATTTCATATTTGTTCACTATTTTGGAAGCCACCTAATAATGGAATTGAAGGCTAAAGCATAGCAGAGGATATAAGAGTAAGAGTTCCAAAGAACCAGTACATCAATCTCCTTCCTTCCATTCCAAGATTGAAAAAAAAATCTGTATTGTTAATATATCTGTGATAACTTCACTTCCATATTCCTTTCAAAAATCATAAACTAAGTAAGTTTACCTAGTTACAATTTTCAGTAGGTACATTATAAGAAATGCCAGAGCCCAAACACAGAAGATGGTACTGGCAACCCAGTACATATCTAATATATTATCAAGTATTTAGTAATACATGTTCTGTTTAATGTACTGTGAAGCTGTATTTCCTTCCAAGGGCATTCAGTTTCAATGTGGGTTAACTTTGAATTCCCTGAGTGGTTATCAAATACAGTGAAGATAGAAGAGACCAGAAAAGCACTGGTTTATTTTTATCTGGTATAACTATAATATTACATTTGTGCCATTAATAAAGTGACAATTGAGAACATATTTTAAAGCACATTGTTTCCAATTATGTTTTCAAATAGCTGTTTTTCAAATAAAAATTATGTCTTTAAATAAAAATTTTAAAATTTATTTTGGTCATGGACTTCAGATAATCTTTCAGATTGAAGGTCAAGGTCACTGGTAGGTCTAAAATGTTCTTAGAGGTAGGAAGGGTGAACTTATAATGAGAAATAAAACATATGTTTACTGGCTAGAGTCCTAAAAGATTACATGACATATTGAATGTGGGGCCTAGTAAGATTCTCAGTACATAGCCAAATTCAAGGATTGACTATCATTCACTTCATATATCATGTAAAATACAATTTCAGTGTGAAATAATTCTACTCTGTGAATCATTGTTCTAAACTTGTAAAGAATATTGCCTTACAAATAAAAATAATGCTTTATCTTATAGTACTTTCACTTACTAAAGAAACTATAGAACATTTTAAGATGAAATATGAACTGTCAATGTAAGAAGATCTATCAGAGGCAACAGTCCTTCACTATAAGTTGTCAGAAAAAGAACATTTTTGTGATTCTCTCTGGTTAACTTACCTCAGAGTTAATATGTTTATTGATATTCTCATGAGAGTTACCCTTAAATTCATCAATCACATCCTTCCAAGTTTGGGGTTGAATTAACTCTTTCTGGTAATGTGGTTCTTCTACCCTGGAGACCTCTGAATTATCAAGGAAAGTAAAGTTCTTTCAAGCTGTCAAACAAAGTACCTTTCAAACTTGAATTGAGATATGGCTGTTACAAAAGAAAACTTTGGAGACCAGTTGGAATCCACGAATTTAATCAAAGGGTACACAAACTTTCTATAGTTCCCCTATGTCTACCATGTTGATCTTCCACTCCCCTCCTCTGTCTCTTATCACCTCACTCCCATCCTCTGTCAGCAGTCCCCTCCACACTCACACGTTCACACGTTCACTCACAAGACAACGTGGATAGCTCAAGTTCATTACGTTGTTCAGTACATTTTAATGCTTTCAGTAGATTGGGAAGTGGAGGCTCACTGACAACAGAAGTTGGTTTTATTATTACTTTATAATTGTCACAATAATAATCAGCTATTATTAATACTCCGTGTACCTCTGGGTGGATGGTAATATCTGCCTCAGTTTAATTATATAGCTCTTGTTCCTATATAGTTTTTCATGTTAGTTGTTTTAAAGTTAAACATTATCCTGATAGATATAAATATTTTCTTTTTTGAGGGTTTGTGAGTACGACTTTTGGGGATGGGAAAGTAAGAAAGAGTAAGAATAAGAATAATATTTCATCTTTTTAATGAAGTATCTGGAACAAAAATTGATCTGAAAAGCAGAAAAATGCAATACTGAAGTAACTTTTAAATTAACATATTTTTCTAGAGATAGCCTTTTCTACTAAAAAAATATGGAATTGGATTCCATTTTCATTTTAAAATGTAAGTTGAAACTTTTGTTTCCACATTCCCCTCAACATCAACAGAATTAGGAAATCTCACCTATTATGTATTGGTTTCCCACTTCTTCCCTTACTGACTCCTTCTGTATCAATTTTCTTCCAAGTTTAAAGCCAGAGGACAGAAAGCACTTTGTAAATAACTGTAAAAACATACATTTTTATTTCCTGTTTCTTTTCCCCAGTAAAGCATAAGCATAGATGCTAAAAAGCAGAAATTATAATTCATAGATATAGATAGATAGATAGATCTCCAACAAATTAATTTTAAAATGAGGAGCCATTTTTTACAAGTTCAAATTCTGTTGCACATATGTATTCAAATAAGTATTTATTTAATTTTAAACAAACATTGCACTCATGTGATAGAAGGGAAACGATTACCATTTTCAGTTCAGCATGAGTCAGATCCTGGGCAGCAGTTGACAGCAGGGTGTCCACTCCTCCCTTCTTCTTCCACATCATTAATCTCTGGGTAGGAGGTGCAAGTTCCAAAACCATGAGTGTATCCGCAAAGGAAGTAAGTTGCTTATGCATAGTTTTGCTACTGATCTCCTTGACTGGATCAATGAGCAGTTTTCTCTTTTTGCTTTTCCTTTTCTCAGCAATGTCTAAATATAAGAAAGAGGCATAAATGTGATTGGTTGTGTAGCTTGATAAAATAATACTCCAGGCACTGCATGTCTAAGAAATGTCTACAACCTGCAGAGTTGCACTGGGAAGAAAATCCATTATTTTCTGAACATGATGCTTTGTAAAGTCTCTGCACAACTAGAATTCCTGAGCAGCCAAAAGCTGATATATTTTTAAAGGTGCTGCTTGAAAGTACTCGTGAGGGACTCTGTTGACTTGCTAAGTAGGCATCTGAGGAAGCTTGAAGCAGAGGCTCCATTGAGAGGGAAGTTAACCAATCTGAAGGTTCCTTAAAATGCCTATGTACCAGGATAACCTTCTGAAACATTCATTTGTATTTGTCCAGTGTATTTTCCTCTCCTCTAATTAAATTCATGTATAAATTCAAGGTAGGAAGCTAGGTCTGTGGAATTTCACTCCTTTAGGGAATTTTACCAGGCAGAAAGCAGAAGTCAAGCTTTTCTTTAGTAAAGCTGCAAAAGGGGAGCAAGGATTAGATTTCCCAGTCTATGAAGATCCCAGATCAGATGGAGCCAGAAAAAACATAAACCTGCTTGTTGGTGTGCTTTAGTAAAAATCCTGGGAGCACAAGACACTATACAGCTGGCTGTGGAGCTGGGACAGTGGTCACTACTAACTGGTGTAGCTGATGACTACAGGTTCACGTCTCACACCCTTCCCCTAAACTTTGGTACTACAACACTCCAAGAACATAGGGGAGTTGTGCAGATTGAATTTCCCACCAGCCATGTGGGATAGCAGCTCAGAGTTAAATTCAGTAAAGAAAAAATTGGAACGCTTTATTCTTTGCATGCCTCAGTTTATAAACTGAAATCTATATCAATTATACTATTTAAAATGAGAATATTCTAGTTTTAAATAGTATAATTTAAAATTATATATTAATATTAGTATAATCCTAATATTAGTATAATCCTAAAGGACCTATTTACATATGAGATTCATACTTACTGTTTATTTCTAAAAACATGTTAAATGTCAGAGGCTAAATGTTAGAGGGCACAATGCCTTTCTTCTGCCCTATATTCACTTGCATGTTTATTTATCTTGATTGTACTGAAAACTTCTTAAAGGCAGGAACCATGTCTTCTTCATTCCTACCCCCAGCACAGAATAATGGCTTAATAACTTCCTGAACTAAACTCAGTTTTTAATTTTCCAGTTTCCCAAACTGGATGTATTATTCAAACAGGAATGAGTATAATGAAAGAATCATCTCAAATTTCCTTCATGCTCTTCTCCTATTGTATTACAAATGCTTTTACTAGATTGACTACCTCTTAGAATATTTTGTGGATTACTACAAATATCTCAAGGTAAACATGATAGCAGTGTGTTGGAGATAAATAGTGCCTCTGACCTGAAATATCGATTGGATCAAGAGTAAATCCTTCCTCTTCATTTGACAATAATGTTGTTTCATTCATTTTTTCATTTTCAGGTAGACGCATGTAATCTGGATTATCTGGTTCTACTAATCAATGACACCATAAAAGTAATTATAAAAACATATAGTCATGTTGTAAGCTAGAAGACTATGAGAGTTAAAGTAAAAGCAGAGTAGAGATCTATATTGCTAATGGGAGCCTTATCTAATTCTTAGACTCATATATTTAATAGAGATGAAGAGACTCAGGATTATATGGACTGGGACCCACAGTATTTAGGTGAGTCGAGTATCATCATTCTCTGTGCACACAAGTCATTTAAAGGTAGGCTACACTCAGTGGCAGTAACAACAGTGGTAGCAATATATGACTGACATAAATTTGATATGTCCATTCAAATATTTATATTCTGTTGGATCACTTATCAATTGACTCATAAAGAACCAAAACTAAAATTTTACTCCTCCTTTTACATTTTCAATTTTGATTATTGTTTTGGAAAGTAAATACAACATCAAAAATCGTGAAGAATCAAAATCAGGCTAGTTGTACCTCTAATTTCTTTAAATATTTATTTTTTAGTTATAGGTGGACACATATCTTTATTTTATTTTTATGTGTTGCTGAGGATTGAACCCAGTGCCTCATGCATGCTACGCAAGTGCTCTACCTCTGAGCCATAATCCCAGTACCTCTGATTTTTAAGAAAAATCAGCTTAAAAGACCTAAATCATCTAAGATATTTTGTAAGAATTTCAAATAGGGAAAATAGCTCCATTTATAATTTCTCTCAAATTGTATACAGATTGTCAAGTCATACTATTTAAAAAATTTTTTCTTTCCATGTAACATATATTCAGTGATTCTAAAGCATAGTTTTGGCAGGGGATTTAAACATGTTCTCCTACTCAACTCATTCCTAATTAAATACCCTTCATTCCACCTGTCTTAGAACCAACCTCCTATTCTATATTATCTAGAGTCCTTCTAAGAGTTTGAGGGACAACAGTCTTTATCATTCACTGCACTATACTGCTGCTTGAACTCAGAAGTTCTAAGGCTTAATATCAATATTAGTCTGCATTGACTTTCTACACAGAGGAAAACTTCAACATACCCACTGTAGCATGGGGAGGCTCAGGAGGAAGGGAGATTTCTCTGTTCAAAGGCATGTCTTCTAACAGGATATTCTCATCATCCTGCAATAGATTGTCTTGAAAAAAACAACACACACTTTCGTCATACAGACTTGAATCTGTCATTTGTTCACTAAATACTTATTAACATTACTTTATACAAAGGCATTGTGAAGGAATAATCAAGAGTTTTAATGTGAACTGGAAGACATTTAAACTATATCTGAACAGCTAACAAACAATTTTTAAACTTAACTAAGCTCAAAGTTCTTGATTCTGCAAGTATTTCAATGATATTGACACACAGGCATAGTAAAATAGGTTGGAAATAATAATCTAGAGCTTATATATTATTATATTAATATTATGCTTAATAGTATTTTTCCTATTATTATATAATTATATTATTATATTGTTATATAATTACATATTATATATTAGAAGTTTTTTTAGGTGTTCCCCATCTAGGATGATGGGTTAAATATATACATTTAGTTTTCTCAGTTTTTGTCTACCCTATTTCTATGATTATAATAATATCATAATATAAATATAAGATGGTAATATAAAATGCCAGAAAGATTCTTTAGAATAGCTGTCCCATGATTTGTGTCAAAGAAAGCTATGTTTTCCAGCAAATAATCTAGTATGTATTTTGAGGGATATACTGAACTCACTCCTTCCCTTCCCAAAATTAGGACTTTATAAAAACTGGGTAGTAGTTCCAAACTTTTATAGAAAATGTGTTTAAACAGATGGCTATTTACTTAAGACTAGCTTAAATATACCATAGATTTTGAAAGCTTGTCTGAAAAATGAGTTGACCTACTTGATACAGAAGCACAGCTGAAATTTTAGTTTGATGTAATAAATCTACTAATAGTAATAAATATTTAATTTCTATATGACTGGACATCATACCAATCATTTCTCCTGCAGCTCCTTCATCTCCAAATCCATCTCCACTGTCATAGAACAAAGACTTTTCTCCAATAAGGCTTCCAGAACTGTGTTCAACTAAAGGACCACTGGAGTTCAGTAATATGTTGTCATCAAAGAAGCTATGTCTTCTAAGAATTTCAGATTCTTCCCCTAAATAATATATGTCATTAATGCTAAGTTAGTCATAGAAACACATAACTTTAGGGTTAGAAGGAAAATGAGATATTATCTAGCATAATTCACCCTCATTTTATGAGGAAATGAAAAGCTGAAATAATTATTTGAATTGTTCAACTAAAGTCACTCAATTAATCAGTAGAGATTAGAATTCTAGTTTATTTAATAATCTTCCCAATAGAAAGAATGCAAAAACATTAGGTAGAGTTTAAAGTTGTGATATAGTTTAATAATGTCCTAGAAGGCAGAAATACTATGATAGTAAAATGATTTCCTCTACTGTAGGTAGGTCCAATACTGCTTGACCAAGCATTACATCATTTCAAGGACAATTGCTTCAGTGGTTTTACTCCTAAGGAGAATCGGGAAAATAAGAAGCATATCTACCTTTTTAGGAAAATGGAAAGATATTAAAAATATTAAATAATGGACTCATAATGTCCATTGAATATGTTAATAGAGCAGTAAAAATGATAACACTAAAATGGCTAGCATTACCTGAGTGCTCATTACATGAACTAGAGAAGCATAGTTAAGAATAGGACTTAATGAACAGACACTATCTTCTAAGCATTGAGCATCATAAGAATCTGAGATTACAGAAAATAAATAATCACTACCTTCAATTTTATATAGTAGCCCAATTTTATGTAGTAACCCAAAATTTGATGGGTTAATATTAAATATTTCTCAAAGGAAATATTTGAGGTTGTTTTTGAAGAAGAGAAAATCCCATATTGGTGGAGAAGGCTGAAGGAAGAAGAAAAGAAAAGAAATAATCTATGATGCTGCTAGTAGTATCTCAACTTTCGTGACAGGGCAGTAAGGTTCAGAGAAGTCCAGTACAACAGAGCAAATCAACAGAGAAAATCCAGATTCAAATCTAACTCTGTTGATCTTTTAAGAACATGTTCTTCCCACTTCTTAAAAAATTATACAATACACAGAACTGTGAACAACTAAATTGTATTGATTGGATGGTAAGACACTTGAATAAAGTGTCTATATTAAGAGTAAGACAAACAAGGTTGATAAAATAAAGGTGATAAATTGATATAAGGCCTCAAGGATAAGCAGAGGGATTTGATACTGTGTCATAAGGACAAGGTACTTAAGCAAAAAATGTGATATGAAAAAAAAAATTCAAAGACAACTGCTCTTGCAGAGATGTGTAAAATGTGGGAAGAGAATGGCTGATTTGCAGGTGGGTGGTGCTGTACTCCAGGCCTTTGGTACTGGTGAATTATGTTGGTGGCTAAGTAAATAGAAAGACCTAAGAGACATTTTAGGTGTGTGTCTGTGTGTGGGTTTTAAATCAGCACTAATATGAAGATGGTAGAAAGTGTAGTTGAAAGTAATCTTAAAGTTTCAGGCATGAAGAAAAATAGCAGAATTTGCAGAGAAAATTGTAAAGAGTGTTTTGGGTAGTTAAGAGAATATAATTATGTCATTGCCAATATGTCACATTTCTAGGTCTAGGAATACAGCCAGCAAGAGACCTATTCTACTCAAAATATGATCTGCGGACTGGTGCTGGTCCATAATAAATAATAGCAATTAGAAGTAAACCTTTAGGAAGTTTTATAGCAATTAGTAGTTTTATGTAACTAAAACTCTAATAACAAAAACTTGAGGCTTATTTCTTGAAATTTTTAATTTTTCTAATGATCCATTTTCAAGTCTAGTAATTTATTTATACAAAATTAAAATACAATATAGACAGATTTGAAATTGACAAAAATTATAAAACTAGTCCTTCACCAGATTGCTTGAGAAACAACTATAGATAGCAAGAGTTACATAAAGAGAGTGTGGATGAGAAGCCAAGACTAGAGATGTGGTTTGAGCATTATACCCTTGACCTCCCTCCCTGACCCAAGACAGGTTTAGGCCATCCTCCTGCTATGTTCACTGTTTTGGGTACTATAAGAAATTAAAAAATGAACATGACTTAGATCCTACCCTTATGAAGCTTGCTGACTAAAAAAGAAGGTGTATAAATATCATGTTACAAGACAGAGTGTGGTAGATGCCAAAAAAAAAAGAACAAATACTATACAGTTGAATTAAAACTTATCACTTCAATTGTCAAGTACATTCACCCAAACATATTTTAACATTTCAAAAATCAGTTTCTATTTTATAATCAATCCCTTATTCAGTAGTAGTATTTCCTATTCTTCACCCCCAAGCTGATTTGAAATCTGTTATTTTACAACTAATATTCATTATACACTGGAGGAAATATATTTGAAGACATTTAATGTAGCATACATATAAAAATTTGTATATGTGTTAATTATCCAATTGTTTATTTGCATGTCTCTCTCCCAGCCTGAAGTTAGTTGAGGGCAAAAACAGCTCCTTTAAACTCTGGTATTGTGTAAGTCTGTGACAGCAGCTGCCACAGTAGGTAGTCAACAAAGAGATGTATACTGGGAAAGAAATACATTCTAAGACTGAGTCTTGGAGATGATATTGTACCAGAAAATGGCAGGGAAAATTTATTAGGGATTATATTTATAAATGAAAGTATTCATTCTATAGATATTTCTACTGGCATTGTGTCAACAGAGAAATGTAAATATAATTGATTATGACTTGTAATTTTGATTTCTGATATATTCTCACCAAAGCTCCCTGCTTGGAAAAGTAGATCATTGGCATAATCTTCTCTTAGTGTAATTTCTTCAGGTCTACTTTGGTTTTGAGTAAAGTGTTCTGTAACATCAATTGCACTATAGAGGAATATAAGATTGAGGAAAACATAAGAATAGAACACAATGAATTTGAAGCATCCTTAAAAAGAAAAAAAAAAAAACCTTAAAAGAAAAAAACAGGTTTATTATAAAATAAAATTTTTTATTTTCTCAATATTATTATTTATAAACAGGAGTTTTATATGTATACATATACACTACATACATACACATAAATACATACATAACATACACATACACATATAATCATGAGTTTTTTATATATACATATATCCAAGTTGCCAAATCCAATGGTTGTTCTCAGTCTTTATCCTACTTGTGCTAACAAACAGCATTCAAAATAGACACCCACTCCTGCCATAACCTGAACGTTGTGTTCCCCCAAATTCATAGGTTGAAATCTAATCACCAATGTGACGGCATTAGGAAGTGAGGTCTTTGGGAAGTTACTAGGTCATGAAGACTCTGCCTTCAGAAGTGGGATTAGTGCCTTTATTAGGCCCCAGAGAGCTGCCTTGCAAGATCTGTCATATGAGGACACAGTGAGAAGACTGCTATCTGTGAACCAGGAAGCAGACCCTCACTAGACACTGAATCTGCTGGCACCTTGACTTTGGACTTCCCAGTCTTTGGGGCTGCTGTAACAAATACATGAGATGAGGTAATTTATAAACAGAAATTTACTGTGCAGTTCTGGAAGTTGAGAAGTCCAAAATCAAGATGCCTACAGATTGGATGTCTGGTGAAGTCCTGTTCCTCATAGATGGTGCTTTCTTGCTGTGTCCTCAGGTGGTAGAAGGTGCAAGGAAGCCTTCCCTGGTCTCTTTTATAAGGGCACTAATGCCATCCACAAGCACTCTCCATCCTCTTCATCTAATCATCACTCACTCAAAGGCCCCACCTCTTTGTACAATAACCTTAGGGGGTAGATTTCAACATCTGAATTAAGGAGAACACATACATTCTGACCACTGGAAATGTGTAATAGTCACTTCAAAATTTATGTGCAAGATTTAACTTACTTCCTTCTCCCTCCCCTTCTTTAACCTGACATTCCTTAGTTATCCTAATTCTGTTTTCATGCCTAAAATCATATAATCATCCTTCACCTCTTTGTTTTTAGAGCCATATCCAATTCATCAGCAAATCCTGTTGGCTGTGCCTTCCACACATATCTATAAATTGCTACCACCTCTATAAGATGAAGAGTGAGAACTGATCACAGATACTATCTTCTTTCTCCAGGACTTCCTGCTTCGATAATCTCAAGGGCTCTCTTCTTCTTCTCTTTACCCTTATAATAAGTGGCCGGAGAGAAGGCATTGCAATCAAGTCAGATCTGGTCGCTCCTCTATTCAAAACCTTACTGTGGAGCACTGGGTTGTAGTTAAGTTGTAAAGCACTTGCCTAGCATGCCCAAGATCCTGAGTTCTATTCCCAGCACCACAAAAAACAAAAAACCACAACAAACACACCTGTGCTTCATCTCTGAGTGAAATAAAAGACTTACTGCAAACTACAATGCCCTATATCATCTGCACCTCTTGCATCTCTGACCACATTTTTCTACCATTCAGCTCCTCATTCACTCGATCTAATCTCACTTGCCTCCTTTCTGTTCCTTGAAAATGTGAAATGTGTTCTTGGGGCCTTTCCACTTGTTCTTTCCAGAACATTTTTCCACATTATTGAATGAGTTTTCCTTTACTTCCTTCAGGTTTCTGTTCTTACCTTATCAGAAATTCCTTTCCTGACCATCCTATTTTATTTTCTATTCTCTTCATACTTATCATCTGACCATTTCCTGGAGTACTGTGTATTTACTTGTGTATTTATTGTCAGTTTACTTCAACTAAAACGTAAGATCCAGGAAGCCAAAAGCTGTGTTTGATTCATTGCTATCTCTTCAATGATAAGAACAGAGCCTGGTAGGAAAGGCACTCAATGAATATTTACTGAATGACTAGATAAATATACTGTCAATATTGCATACAACATTCAATAAACATACAAGCATACATTTTATTGTTGCACTTTGGAATGTCATACTATATTTAAGCCTTTGTCAACTGTGTACTTGTTTAGTTGTTAACTACACTCCATTTGCCTTCACAAAATTTGAATATGAAAACAATAAAATATCAAAAAAAAATCAAGTTGAGGGAAAGTAAATAAAATAATTTACTTTATATTATGGGTGTCAAAATCATGAAATTCTTCTGGTAATGTGATAGCGTTGTAAGCTGCTTCAAAATTCTCTTTTGGGAGATCAACCAGTCCTGAAAATTAAAGAATTACATTCAATAAGCATTGATGTGGTATAAAGTAAGACATTCCCAATTAAATGTTCACTTTCTGAACAACTGCTTCATCTATTTAATGGTTTCCCCGTATCCACTCCTGTCCATCTTTAGTCCTTTTTCTCTAACAAAGCATCCAGATCAAAAGCAAAAGCAAAAGCAAACAGATCAGATGACTCTCATGCTTAAAACAGTTTAGCAATTTTCCCAGTACATTTAAATAAAATTCAGATTTCTAACTGGGGCCTCTCCAGTCCTACAAATCTATTAGGCATCATCTAAAGACACTCTCTTCTTCACTTGTTATACTTACCACAAATGTACTAGCCTTTTTGTTCCCTGAAAAAGTCAAGCATTTTTTTCACCTCAAGACCTCTGCTCTTGCACTTTCATTTGCCTAGTATGCCATTCCCTCGGGGACTTTTTACATGACTGGGTACTTCTCATTTTTCAAGTCTGAGCTTAAATTCTGTTCTTTCAGAAAGGCTTTTCCTGGCCAACTAAGTGAACTTCTGTTATTTTCTGTTGTTGTGTTCTGTTTATTTTCCTTTATAGCACAATGACAATCTGTAAGTATTGTAATAAGTTTTTTAAACCTTTTCATCCTCTGATTTCTTCCCCAGACTAAAAAGAACCTTATTTATCTTGTTTGTCAGTGTGTCAAATATCATGTTTGGTGCAAGGTATGAAATCAATAAATATTTATGGAATATATAAATGAAATTATATTTGGGCAAGTGAACCACAGTGTGAGTATAAATCTATCTTGAGATTCTACAAATATTTTAACTGAAAAAGAAAAAAAAAACCTGTAAATCTTAAATCTACAAAAGATGATACTATAAGAGATTCAGAAAATGGAATGTCAAAGATGCTTCTGCCAGGGAACTTAAACACTAATGATAAAGGAAAGACCTACTGTATCTAAATAACCATCACAGAGGGTAGAAAATAATGGGTGTAGTAAAAGTAGAACAGATGCTACATAAACTAAAATTTGAAGGCTTTATATATATCTCCAGAACTTTAAAATGCCAGGAAATTTTGACAATATTTCATAAACAGCATGAAACTTAAAAGTCTTGCAAATTTTAAAAACAATGACAATTATTGATATTTACACTTTGTCAGTCATGCTATTTCTAATTTCTCTCATAGAAGCAAAAACAGACGTAACAGACTAAATGACACATCACAAATGGAATATCAGAGTTCTTACACAATCTGCTTGTTTTAAGTGTATTTCTTACACAAATCACAGGAACATTACAAGTTTTAGGAATCATAACTTTTTCCTGAAAACACGGGAAAAGAACAAGGGAAAGAATATAATTTTTTCTTAACTATGGAAACTTAGATTCAGCAAAATGAAGTTTACATTCACTATTCTTGCCTGAAATTACAGGGTTCTGCCAATTAAAAGAGCCCACACAACATAAAAATGTAAAAGGGAACCAAGAGTGAGACAAATTAACGTTGCATGTATACCTGGGCGAAATGTCATCTTCATTTTAAGAAATGCTTCACTGCAATCTGCCAAAAGATATTTTGCCTTCCTATTATAGATTCGAACAACTCCCAAAAGAAGGTGTCCTGAAGTTCGAAGTGCAATTTTCACCTTTCAATAATTTTTGAAGTATTAGAATAATAAAAATTAGGTTCATGAATCCTGTTCTTTGAAAATTACTAAATCATAAGAATTTCTTCTCTTTAAAAAAACATTCCATATTCTAAAAATAAACCACTTAACTTCTACTTCACTTTGCAAAATTATTAACTTCTGTTTTGCTTACTCAGTAAAGGTAACCTACTGTGGCATTTAAGTGAAGTATATTATTATTAATATTATGGGAAGAATGTAAACTCTGCTGTCAGGCAGAATTGGGTTCAACCTGTGGCTCAATTGCTGAGGCTGAGTAACTTAATCCTCTGAACTTCAGTTTAATAACTTATTCTATATTTATTTTGTGCCAGGCATTGTCCTAAGAGCTTTCCATACATTGATTTACTTAATTTTGACAACATCTATTTACAGAAGAAAAAATCCGGACTCATATATGTTGAGTGGCATGCATAAGTAATATAACTATTAAGTAATAAAGCAAGGATAAAATATAAATCTGATCAACACAAAAGTTCATGCCAACTACCACACTTCATTGAGGCCAAAAGAAGTTGATTTCAGAGGGCTGTTGTGGAAATTTAAAAAATTAATAGTCTAACCCAGTGCCCAGCCCATAGTAGCTTTTTTTTTTTTAATTTTTTTTTATTGGTTGTTAAAAACATTATAAAGCTCTTGACATATCATATTTCATACATTAGATTCAAGTTGGTTATGAACTCCCAATTTTACCCCAAATACAGATTGCAGAATCACATCAGTTACACACCCACGTTTTTACATATTGCCATACTAGTGACTGTTGCATTCTGCTACCTTTCCTATCCTCTACCATCCCCCCTCCCTCCCCTCCCATCTTCTCTCTCTACCCCATCCACTGTAATTCGTATCTCTCCTTGTTTATTTTCCCATTCCCCTCACAACCTCTTATATGTAATTTTGTATAACAATGAGGGTCTCCCTCCATTACCATGCAATTTCCCTTTTCTCTCCCTTTCCATCCCACCTCATCTATCTGTTTAATGTTAATCTTTTCTTCCTGCTCTTCCTCCCTGCTCTGTTCTTAGTTGCTCTCATTATATCAAAGAAGACATTTGGTATTTGTTTTTTAGGGATTGGCTAGCTTCACTAAGCATAATCTGCTCTAGTGCCATCCATTTCCCTGCAAATTCTATGATTTTGTCATTTTTTAGTGCTGCGTAATACTCCATGGTGCTTTTTAATTATAATTCATCCTTTTCTCAAGCAGAAAGACACTTAATATAAAAATATCAAATTTTTATGCAAATTCTAATATTTGTTTTGAGCTATAATATTTTCATATAAATTCTAATAGTTGTTTTATAGTTTTATAATGAACATAATACTCTTGTTTATGATATAATTTCACATATTTTTAAATTTATAATTAATTTTCCTTCTTTTTCCTATGTTCCCAATTCATTCATTCATTATTTTCTAATAAGTACTTATCAGGTACCTACTATGTATAGCAGTATTTTGTTAGGGAATATGAAATATTACAAAATATGCATAGAATATGCCCTTTTTTCTTCAGGGCCCAGTGTATTTATGATAAATATATGATACAATTACCAATGGAAACTGATATTTTTTAAATATATATATTTTTAAGTTGTTGATAGACCTTTATTTATTTATTTATATGTGGTGCTAAGAATCTAACCCAGTGCCTCACACATGTCAGGCAAGTGTGTTACCTACCGCTGAGCCCCAGCCCCAGCCCAAAACTGATATATGTTCAGGCAATAAATGCAATACAATTAAAGTAATCATATGAGAAGTAAAATTGCTTTGCAAATGTATTTTATGATATAAATGCCCTGTGCCTGAATCCATTTCATCAGCTTCCATGTTAAAGAATTAGACAAGGGGCTGGGGTTTTATCTCAGTGGTAGAGTACTTGCCTAGGACTTATGAGGCACTGGGTTCAATCGTCAGCACCACATAAAAATAAATAAATAAAATAAAGATATTGTGTCTAAGACTAAAAATTTTTTAAAAAAAGAACATTAGACAAGAAATTTTCTTTTTTCTTGCCAATATATTTTAAGTCCTTTCCTCTTCAGAAGTCATGGAAAATAAGAACTATCATTTTAATCGGTAACATACCTTAGGTGAAAGAATTTTTTCAATGGTTATCTCTAGATTACATTCAAATACATGAGCCTTTGTAAGTTTCTTCTCCCAGTGAGCTGCGAGCCATATTTTGGCCAGTGGCCCTCGTTTACTCATAAGCACATGGGTGTAGAACATGTTGCCTGTATTCCTTAGTAATTTTTAATAAATTAGAGAGAAAATGAAAAGTTACTTAAAATTTGATAATAAAAACCTCTCAGGACTATTTTACAGCAAGCAAATACATTCTTATCAATTCTATAAAATAACAGATTCTTTAGTTCAATATATTTCAAAATATTTTCTTGAAAAAAAGAGAAGTTTATTTAGAATATAAAATAATAAACTAATGTCAGGCCAGGGGTGATGGGGCATGCCTCTAATCCCAGCCACTTAGGAGGCTGAGCAGAAAGAATGCAAGTTCCAGGCCAGTCTCAACAACTTAGCAAGATCCTATGCAACTCAGCAAGCTGCTGTCTTGAAATAAAAAATGAAAATACTGGGGATGTAGCTCAGCTAGAGCACCTCTAGGTTCATTCAGTCCCCAGTCCCCACCCCCACGCACAAATTATAAACTAATGACAGAGCTCTAATAGTTTGTTAACTATATCTGGTTTAAATGTATCCTAATCAATGATCTCTTCCTAGGTTTTATTTTATACTATACAGAATTTGAGATCATACTAATGCGGTCAAATAAATAAAGGAGAAAGGCTGAAGAAATAGGAGATGGTTATGGGAAACAATAGAATAGGAAAAAGTGGACAAAACTAAGAAACAGGATTTTGAGAATTTGAGAAGTGTTGGGATCATTGATTCATATTCAAGTGTTGAATTTCTTTGTTTTCTTCAAGATGCTCTGGTTTATTTGACTAATTTTTGAAGTTAAGACAGTAGAATTCTAAAGGACTATCAGAAGAGAAAAATGAAGACAAAACGAAACTATAGGTTTGAAATGAATCAGAGGTGGCAAGAAAAGAAACAAATTTAAACATTTTGAAATAAGAATGGTAACAAAAAAAAATCCTCACTTGAAGACAAGTACTATACATTTCTACAAACTGTACTATTCTTTTTTTTTATTTGTTCTAATTAGTTATACATGACAGCAGAATGTATTTCGATTCATTGTACACAAATGGAGCACAACTTTTCATTTCTCTGGTTGTACACGATGTAGAGTCACAGCATATGTGCAGTCATACCCGTACCTAGGGTGCAAACTGTACTACAGATTACATTTTAAGGCTCCATAATGAAGCCCAAAGTGAGAAGAGATGTTACAGCACTTTGGCTGACTCCTAGAGAAGAATCAAGTACTGCCTACATGTAAGTAACCTTAAACTAAGGTTACTGAAGCTTCTTTTCTATTTCAAGTTTGGATAAGAGAACATTGAGCCAAAATGAACACAACGTCGGCCACGGAATTATAAACGGAGGTGAACTTTGATCAATGCTCATTTTCACCGCCAGAATCACCTCCTTATGCTCAAAACTCTAGGTTGTGCAATTACCAAACCACAACCCCCGCGGGACACCTAGAGATTTCGATGTTTGAGGTTTATGCCTTGCGTTGGCTCCACTTTCCTTTCTAATGGGTGTCTTTGGGCTTCTTGAATAAAGTCCAATTTATCTTCTGAAATTGCTCCCAGATGAGAGATCCTTTAAAAGGACCTTTTAAGTAACCGGTTTAAAAAAAAAAAAAAAAAAAAAAAAACCTAGACCCTGGGATTTTTCTTTTTCTTTGAGATATTGATTTTCTTAAGCATATACTAATCAAACCAATCCTCCTCACCCAAAAAATCACCCCTCCAATACCCCACAACCCTGGGGATTCTTCCTAGATTGACTCTGCTTCATACGGAGTAAAGCCAATGACAGTGCGTGGGAGGAGGCGCCAGCGCCCGGGCTGCTGGGTGACAGCGGCGCAGGAGAGCAGGGCAGGGGCGGGCGCCTGGGCGAGCCGAGTGGGAGACCCCAGGGCGGCGAGGAAAAGGGAGGCGCCTGGACGCGGTCCGCGAAGCGGCCGGCAGAGACGCCCGGGTCTCCTCAGCAGACCGCTCCCCGGAGGGCGGACCCCAGACCAGGACGGCCGCAGGAGCCCGCAGGCACGCCTCGAGCGAGCCGGGGGTCCCGGGCGGCGCCGCCAGCCCCAGGTGGGCTGCGGGAGGCGCGTTTCTTCCTCAGGCCGGGCCCTCAGGGCTCGGTGAGGAGCGGGCTGGCGCGCGCGGGGACGGGCGGCCTGCATCCCCATCAACCTGCCTGCCTACTGCCCTCGGAGCCCGCCCGGCCCGTAGGCTGCGCCCTACTTTGAGCGCCCGGTCTGACTAGAGGTGCGCCGGAGCAGGGACTGTGAGGAAGAGTCGCCCGGGGCGCGCGTCAGGTCTGAGACCAGGGGCTCGCCGGCGCGACTGTGCGTCAGCTACCCGCAGCCGGGCGAGGGGCGTGGCGTGCAGGGGGCGTGGCGGCCGGGGCTGGGAGAGAGGGTGTGGCTTGATGAGGAGCGCGGCGGAAAGGGCAAAGGGCGGGGGTGGGCGCGGCGCTCCGTGCTAGCGCGCCGTCTCAGGAGCTGTGCTAGGGCGGTGCCGCGGGACTTCTGCTAACCTGGGGCACAACAGCGACCAGGCACAATCCCTATAATTCCATTGTGAAAGGTGATCCTTCCACCTGGATCTCTGAACATCCCTATAAAGCAGTCCAGTCTCCTCCACTTACTAGTTAGAAGTTTCTGGAGAAATTATTTGATCCCTTGATACCTCAGTTTTTGTCATCTGTAAAATGGAAGTGATAATAAAAGTACCTGCGGCATAGGATACTGTAAGAAATAAATGAGACGAAGCATGTAAATGGCTTACAATAATAAGTGCTTAATAAATACTTGTTATTATTAGTAAGATCATTCACGTTAACATGCCCTTTGGGGACAACAAAAGTTTTCCAGCCTCGAATATCACAGCTTTAAATAACAAAGCCAATTGCTAGGATCTGAGAAAAAATCATACTAGAATGTAAGGATCCAAGGCTGCTCTGTTCCCTGGAGCTGCGTAGTAAATACTAATAAATCTCAGAGCAGCAGTGACATCCAACATAAGGTTATTGATAAGTCCGGTCTCCTTGCTGGGCATTTTCATAGGTTACTTCATTTACTCTTTAAACAACCTCAAAAAATAGTTATTTTTTTTTCTCCTTTGCAATAAGGTCCAGAGACAAAAAGCGACATTTTCAGCAGTCACATAGTTGGGAATGTTAGAAGATTCATACTCAAGTTTAGCTTCATCTTCCAAACTCAGGGGATGATTACAGCAACCACTTAAGCAGAAGTCTGGGAGACACCCTTGATGCCACCTTTGACATCCACTGATGTCAACCTCTACCCATCAGCAAGCCTATCACTCCACCTTCAAATAAAAATTCACTTTCTCCATTTCTCACTCTCTGCACCCACGCCGCCCTAGATAAGCCCCTGCTGTCCTGGGAGATCTCCCATAGCCTCCTCCTCAGTAGTCACCTTCATGTCACCTGCCTCCCAGAAGCCCATTCTTCACAACAAAGCCAGAAGAGTATTTGAAAAATGTGAGTCGAATCCTGTTATATAACTCAACCTGCTCTTTTAAAGCCTGAAAGTTCTTCCTGTTGCCCTTAGAATAAAAATCAAACCCCCTTCTAACAACTACAAGACCTTCCATGATCTCCCCCTTACTTATGATTTCATTTCATATGGTGGATTTCCCTTGACAATCCTGCATCTTCAGTTTCAGGGTCTTCCTTGTATGAACCCTTTTAAGACCCTGGGAGACACCTAGTGATGTGCTCACATGGGCAGGTGTTTCTGTAAACTCCACAGACGAAAGATATTTAACTGTGATCCTTTCAGATCAAGGTCATCCATTTCGATGCTATCACACTATGTTAAAGGCAATGGATAAACGAGGGCTGAGGCTAAGGCAGAGTTGAGTGTGCGTTTGATTCAGGTGTAGAGAGATCTAATTATGTGGTCCTCAGTCACTTCCCATCTCTGGTAAGTTATTGCTACCCATCTCAGTGTAGGAATGGCTTCCAGGAACACACCTACTGCCCACCAAGCTGCCTCACCCTTCGAGTGACTGAGGATGCAGGTCCATGGTGCCCAGCATCAGAAGCATGTGCACAGGGATAGGAAACAGAGCCAGAAACTGGTCTATGGAAAGTTCTTCCAATCATCAGTCATATTCAACTAAGAGAGGATTTGGTTCTCATCAAAGCTCAGTTAAAGCAGAAATTCTTTCTTATCAGAATTTATCTGGCAGTAAAGCACATACAATTATTAATGCACAGCATGCTTTTTCTTCTTTTTAAACAAGAATTGCATAGAGTAGGAGATATGAGTCTTGTGCTCATAGAGCATGAACGTGACAGTCCTATAAACAGCTGGTACATCCATGTGAGAAGTTGCAGGTTGTATGATCTCATTGTATTGGATCTTGACTTAGTTGGCACATCTGTCTTGCTGATGTCTGGTGCCTACGGACAAAATGTCCTGTGGATCATAACAGAAATAGTAATTCACTAAGGTGAATAGATACATTTGAAAACAAAATAATGAATAGACTCTTGGATCATTTGATAATCTAATTAATTAAAATGAGTGAATCATAAACATATTGGGACAGATTTAGTTTTCTCTATTATTCGATATGAAATGCTAACCTGGATGAATGAAATACAGAACTTATAACACACCACTACAATGGGGACTTTGAAAGTAAACTAGTTAATATACATACTGTTAGCTCAAAGAATATTTAAAACTAGTCACTATGCAATGAGACGTAGAGCTCATATGAAAGAAACTTAGAGATTTCCCCAAATTTGGCAATACTCCTAAACTTTACACAGCATTAAACTTTACAACATAAAGAAAATTATTTAAAGTAGCCACACAAAATGTTAATCAACCTTGTAGAACTAAATTATTTCCCTAGTCTCTTTATTAAAAAAAAAAAAAAACACAACAAAATTATTGGTTATGAGTAGGTGATTAAAGAATATACACAAAAAGCATAGAGAAAATTATTATAGAGGCATATACAGTTAATTAATAAAAAACATTATGCTGCTGGATACCCGTAATCCCAGCAGCTCAGGAGGCCGAGGCAGGA